CTGGTGACCTATAACCGGGGTTTGGAAATGTTGCGTACTGCAGAAGCTAAAAATGTGTTGGGATGTCACGAAATTAATATAAATATAAAGGGCCTAAGAATAAAACATTTGTGAGGAAGCGTAAGCAGTACTAATTACTAAACAAAGCCATCCTGGGACCACTGATTATGGGCATTACATCAACAAAATACTATTTATTTATGGGTATTTTATTCTGAATCATTGCATTTATGTAAAATACATAAATATTTTGGATAGCACGGATATTCACACTAGTTGTCCTTGTACTAAGTTTTATGGGCATTTTACTCTGAATCATTACATTTTGGATACTACTTTGATTAGAATTTAGTTTAAAGACATTCACTGGAGTTTGGACGTATCCAGAGAGCACCGATCGATGTATGTTCAAGCGTAAATTGAAATAAATATGCAACTTAAAATTTTTAAAAATAAATTACTACTGCATATCCGAAATTTACTTTTTGGAGAGTAGGTTTAGTTCATACTATTTTTCATAGTATTTTAAAATATATAAGTACAAAAAATTTTAAATTATACCTATAATCATGTATTATACGAGTATATTATGAGTACTTACTAACTAAGGTACTAAACTTTAATCATTAATAAAGCATCTTATCGTTAATTCAAATAAACTTTCTAATACTAGTTTGAGATAAGTTTTAAAGTAAAATAGTGCATGCGTCCCATAAATCAATAAATCTTGATTATTAATCAAATTTGCCATGTTATTAGTAATAATTACTATTTATGTATAAAAACTTACTATTACTTGAATTAAACTTACTAAGGTATATTATGAGTGCTTACTAACTAAGGTACTAAGTTTTAATCATTAATAAAAACATCTTATCATTATTTCAAATAAACTTCCTAATACTACTTTGAGATAAGGTTTTAATGTAAAAATTGTACATGCATTCCAAAAAATGGTAAATTTTGATCCTTAATCATTTTTATTGCCATGTTATTAGTAAGAATTACTATTTATGTATCTTACTATTATTTGAACTAAACTTACTCTTTTAAAAGTAAGTTTGGGATATCAAGTAGTAATCTTTAAGTTTAATATTTATTCCAATTTACCTTTGAGGTATAAAAGTTACTAATCTATTACACTTAACTTACTATTTTAGATAGGAAACTTACTTCCATAATTTTAGGTGTTATTTTATTTAGGTGAATAGGTCCAACAATAAATCAAATGATCGTTAAAAGTGCAACAATATGTTATATCAGGTAAAAACTATTTCGCTATCATAACTATCGTTTAGTATCTATATCTATATGTATTGCTGAGGGGGTTTTGGATAAGGAGCTTCCAAAATTATCAAAAGTCTGAATGCTATTTTAATAGAATTTTACATTTTTATAATTAAAAAATATTTATTTCTTAACTAATCATGTAACCAGCCCTACAAATCCTATAATCATACTTATATTTTTTCCACATTTCCCTCATGTTTTTTCCACTATCCCATAAAATTCAAACTCCTAAACTTTAACTAACGGATAATAACCACCCCTGTAAAATGATATCTGCAAATTCCAATTCACATCTCACATTTATTACTGACACTTATCATATTACTTAGAGTAATAACTAACCGTTAATTTAAGAAATTCGTAACTATGAAAGTCAAATATCCAAAATTTAGGAGTCTGTTTAAATTACAATTTTCACAATTCAACGTATCTTATTGTCATAATATATTTTACTCTCACAATCATTCACAAATTATAAAGGCATTAAAAATAAATAATTTTTTTAATAAAAATTAATTCAAAGGTAGTTAATTCACACACACACACACACACATATACATATATATATATATATATTCTCATAATGCACATATATATAAGATTATCAAATCGAATGCATAATATTGGTAAGTATTTCATTTTAAAATAAAAAACATGCAATTACATTTATTTCTATCCATATATCATTCATTTTATAATATAAATTATTATTATTATTTTAAGATCCATCTTTTGCAAAAACACAATTCTTGAATGATTTACAGTTTTTTTTCATATTTTGAACTATTGTTAGATAAATCTTAAATTTTAATTATGTTGGTATAATTTTTTTAACTTTTTTCAAATTAAAATGGTATAATCTTTTGATTAATTTTAATAATGTAAGCACCGTGTGTAGTACGGATATTCACACTAGCTGTCCTTGTATGACCGAGCCTGAGAGTTTGAGCATGTTTTGGTTGAATGTTATAATTCAAAATTTGGGGTTTGGAGGGAATAGCTTATATCCATTGTAATCAAAACTCAAACAAATGTAGGGATAAACCTGATTGTCACAACAAACTATACAAATGTGGGGATAAATCTTAGTTAGTAAGTACTCATAATATACCTGTATAATAAATGATTATAGGTATAATTTAATATTTTTGTATTTATATATTTTAAAATACTATGAAAAGTAACCTTGTAAAATCTATAATAAAATTTTGTCTTATCATAAGTTTGTATTTATTTTCAATTTTTGAAAAGTTTGAAAGTTTGGATAACAATAACAACAAATCTTCCTAGTTACACGTAGAATATCACTTGTTTCTATATCACAATTTTTATAATTTAACATCTATGAATATAATAAAATAAAATTATTATTTTATAATACGATAAAATTTTATTATTTTCTAAGGTTATGTGAAAGGTCAAAATATTTTTCACAGAATATTTTAAAATATATAAGTACAAAAGAATATTAAATTATACATATAATCATGCATTATACAAGTATGTTACGAGTACTTACTAACTAATGTACTAAGTTTTAATCATTTATAAAATATTTTATTTTTATTTCAAATAAGCTTTCTAGTATTAATTTGGTATAAGTCATAAAGGATTGAGTGATTTGAGTCAGTTGCTTCTGTGTTAATTTTGATTGTAGTTAACGAATTCAATGATTTAGTCCGTCTACCTTAGGTTAGTGGGAAAATGGGTCACAGTTGGCTGGAATAAAATTGTAATAAACCCGTTTTCTAATAAAAAATCAATTCTTTATCGCTTTCCTCCATTATAAGAACAAAGTACCCCTTTTCCTAAAAAAAAAATTATTTATCGGATAAAATAAAAATAAACCTGTTTTTCAATAAAATTCTAACTCTTTATGCCTTTCCTCTATTATAAGAATTGTGCACCCATTTTGCCATAAACAAATTTATTTATCAAATAAAAAAATTTATTTATCGAAAAAATAAAAATAAACCCGTTTCTCAATAAAACATCAGCTCTTTATGGCTTTCTTCCCTTATAAGAAAAGAGTATTCATTTTGCCATAAACAAATTTGTTTATCAAATAAAATAAAAATAAACTCTTTTTTCAATAAAAAAACTAGTTCTTTATGACTTTCCTCCATTATAAGAATATAGTACCCATTTTTCTAAAAAAATATTATTTATCGAATAAAATAAAAATGAACCCGTTTTTTCAATAAAACACCAACTCTTTATGAACTAATTTAAAAAATCACGTAATTCTTTCACATCCTTTCTAAAAAAACTCTGGAGATACACTTAAAATTATATTAAAATTGTACAAGTACTATAGGAATTTAAGGGGGCCCCACTATCCCCACCTTAAATCCACCCCTGTAATGCCAAAAGAAGTGCGGGAAAGCTTCCCTCCAACTCTACTGAATAATATAAGTACAGTCCAAGCCTCCAAATTTGTCTGAAACCCATTGCTGATTTTTCCTCCTCTCAAAACTCCTCCAACCACCAAACTTTACTGTCCTTTTTCCCCTTCTTGATTCTTCCATCTCCAACGGAATCAAGCTTCATAATAAGAGGGGCTTTGTCTTAAAATCATACATTTTTTTGATTAGCTATTTAGCACGCCAGTTGACGGAGTAAGCGGAGGCAGTGGAGGACTCGATGACGACGTCCTCGTCGTCCTCGTCTGAGCCTGGACCTTCAACGTTCCCTCCTCATTAGTTATAGCCAAAGTTTGGGTTTGGGACCGCGCGCTCTCTTGCGCCAAGGCATCACAAAACGCCCGATGCGTGATAAAGCTATCCTGCCTTCATTTCATAAAAAAGAAAACAAACAAGGAAAAAGAAGGGGGAAAATGTTCATTAAGAAACGAATGAGAAAACTCATTGAGTTTAGCTTCATTCTAGTGGCATGACCTGGAAAATAGGGTACCGCAGTCGCAGCGGTATTCTCTGGTGCCGCAAGTTTTCGTGTGCGCTTTCCAATCAGAGATGACAGCATACTTCTTAGAGCAGCGTTCACACTTCCATTTCTTCTCGCCGTGTTTTCTGCAGAAGTGTTTTTTGATGCCAGTTAGGTCCCCAAGTGCTCTGGAGGGGTCGTGATGAATGCAGGTTGCTTCAGGGCAGACGTACACGCGCTTTTTAACTTCTTTCCCGTTTCTCTGCCGGAGTTTCCATGGCAAGTTATGGCCTCTTCTGTGTAGTTGCAAATTCTGGTCTCTTTGGAAACCCTTGTTGCAGATCTCGCATACAAATCGGTTTGTTGCTAAGAGAGTCTTTGGTGATAAGGCTATCACTTCTGCATCTGGATCTACATACAAACTACCGGATAAATGCCCCAAAAAGAAACAAAGGAAAAGAGAAAAATATAGCACTAGTTTTTTAAGATAAAAAATTAGGAAGGTACAAGTACGATTTGAGGAGCTATATAGTGATGATTCATGAGCAGCTACCTGGCATTCCAGGAAGGTTACGCTTTTTCTTGACGGGTCCAACTTGAGCAGCTATCATTGGATTGCCAGCTGAGGAAATACTAGCTTCTTCAGAAGCCGAAGGGACTGTTGCCATTGCTGATGAATTATTCATATCCACCTACTCTCTACAATCCGTTTTTCCTTTCTTTTCCCAAGAAAAATCAACGGGATTCACTTTGTAGCAAACTTTCAAGACTTTGAGAATAAAAACGCTTTAAGCTGAGGTGGTGAATTGGTCCAAAAATCTTTCAGCAAAAATTCAATTCCTGGACAGGAAATTGTTGAGCTTCAGCCTGCATCAGAAGGGAGTCCACTATTAGGTATAATTTTTCAAAATGGACTATGCTAAGATGGAGTTTTGTGAAAATTTATATTCGCAGTTTACTTGCTTAATTAATTTAGATGTCCCTATCCATAAACAGACCCAGTAAATTGTTTGGTTTTAATTGTTGGGACCTACAATAATTTGCTTGAGAACTAAGAAATTTTTGGGTAGCTACATGAAAATTAAATCACTCATCAAGATTTGATTTTCTTTTGAATGTTTTCCTGATGGTGGGAAAGCAGAAAGTTTGGTTGACGGTAATTGTGCTTGCCTGCATCGAAGTCTGATAACAAATTTCTTATTGTAGTTCCTAGACAAAAATATTGTGAGTCTGTGCACAAAACTATCAGGAGAAAAACTCGCACAGTGATGGTTGGCAACTGGCTCTCGGTAGTGAGCATCCTATATGAGTTCAAACCATGACTACAACAGACACTAAAGATGTTGCTGGAACAGTTGAACAGGTGCTATTTATTTCTGCTTCCATGATGGTTTTCTGTAATACATTTTTATTCAGTGATACGACTTGATATGGAGAGCAAGCTGTATATATTTGGCGTATTTAAAAGTTCATTCATCTTATGGGCCCATTCCCCCCCTCAGCCAAACAAACAAAATGGGAATGAAGAAGACGAAGAAGAATCTGGTTGATGCCTGTGTATAGATGGCCATGTTCCATTTTGGATTTGCTTTGATTGAGTCTTGACTTGCATTGCTTACTAGGTGTGATTGGGGGTACTTAAACTTATAGGGGTTTTTATAGGGTTTATCAAGCAATAAAACTTTGCGGGAGAAAAAAGAAAACTTGCTGGATGTTAACAACTTTTCTCTGCTCTCGACAATGGGATTTGGAAATGAAACCAGATGGCAGAACTAATCTGAATTAAGAACACATCTTTTTCTTAAAGTAGAGACAATCTGCAAAATGAAGCATGAGTGTAATCACCTATTGTACTTTTCGCATCTCCTCTAAAAGTTTGTGTGCATCTAAGCTTAACATTTCTAGAATGAAGAATGCTGCAGTTTGAATTGCAATTGATTTTTTGAACTGTTTATATAAGCTGAAACTTTTTAGAACATAAATTTGGCCATAAACTAGGAGTGACAAACAATTCAAGCAGTTAACTTGTTTTTGATAGTTTGGAAGCAATGGCATGCTTGTCATCCTTTAATGATGTCCACTGAAGCACTTATCCTCAGGTTAAGTGTTACTTGTTGTAGGTGATGGGGATAGCTGATAAAGAAGCAGACTTAGTTCGAATAACAGTTCAAGGGAAGAGAGAGGCAGATGCATGTTATGATTTGATTTGAGTATTTTTGTGCTTTGTACTGTTGATAATATTGGTTGTAATATATTGTTGCTCGTTTTGTATTTGTAATGACAAATTGGTTTGTTATTTCATATAAAATTTTTGCTATATCTCAATATTGACATTAATGATACCTCTTGCTAAAAAAAGTAGCAACTACAGTCACAAAGCTGCTTTTGGCAACTTTCTTGCAAAAAAATCATCTTGCTGCAGTTGATCGTCTTTGGTAAGGGGTCGATGGTTTCTAATTAAAGAAGTTACTTGTTTATGACAAAATGGACACTCTTTTCTTATAATGCAGAAAAGTCATAAAGAATTGATGTTTTATTGAAAAATGAATTTATTTTTATTTTATCCGATAAACAAATTTCTTTTTGCCTTCAAAATGGATACTCTGTTCTTATAATGGAGGAAAGTCATAAAGAGCTGGTGTTTTATTGAAAAAACGGGTTTATTTTTATTTTATCTGATAAATAAATTTGTTTATGAAAAAATGGGTACTCTGTTCTTATAATATAGGAAAGTCATAAAGAGCTGGCCTTTTATTAGAAAATGAATTTATTTTTATTTTATTCGATAAATAAATTTATTTATGAGAAAATGGGTACTCTGTTCTTATAATGGAGGAAAACCATAAAGAGCTGGTCTTTTATTAGAAAATGAATTTATTTTTATTTTATTCGATAAATAAATTTAGTTATAAAAAAATGGGTACCCTATTCTAATAATGGAGGAAAATCATAAAGAGCTGGTCTTTTATGGGAAAGTGATACTTTACACAAAGTGACCGCGATTTGGTTTATGAAATAATCCCAAATAAAAATTTAGAATGAATTTATTTGTTTTAAAAGTTGTATAACGGTCGTTAAAACTCCAGAGATTGGCAAACAAATTTTGGGGTTGCATAAAGGCAGAGCGAAGATAGAGAAGAATTGAGTTTTTTGTCCGTTGTAATTGTTCCGTTAAAAATGGCTCTATTCGATTTTACCCATTTTTTGTTGGGTAAAATCGTTGGTTCTAACGATCAATTCTTCATTTCCCGTCAATTGTCCTTAATTGGCCAAAATTACGAAACTTTGAGGATGAAAAGTGCATTTTTTCCTATAAAATATTTAATCAAATGTTATTTCTTGTCTTAATTTTTGTTATGACTATATTACATATTTATTAAATAGACATACCTTTATAATTAAAGTTAATATTTGATATTTTAGGATGCCATATATTTAAATAGATGAAAATTATTTTGAATATAACATATTAAAATAATTTTATTTGTCAATCATTTTGCCCCCCCTCCAAGGAAAAAATCTTGATTTCGTCACTGCTTAGGAAGAAATTGGGGTCTATTGCTAATAAAAGATTGTGAAAATTTACCTTTATATCCTAATTATTTGAAAAAAATCTAATGAACAAATTTTGCGAAAAAAAAACCTTGTTTCTTACCAACAAATTAAGTAACTAATAAAATCACCTGTAATGTTGTTTTAACATATTTAATTTATGTTAAATACAAATTTTACCAGTTTCTCTTTCGTAAAAATATAAGTATAACACCTTTTCAATTTTAGTTACAAACATTTATTTATTTTACATAAATGTAGTGATTCAGAATAAAATACCCGTAAATAGCTAGTATTTTGTTAATGTAATGCAAAAAATCCTTAAAGAGCTGGTATGTTATGGGCGCAATCTTTTTTACTTTCACATATTTAAATTTTGTTAAATACAAAATCTACCAGTTTCCCTTTCGTAAAAATATAAGTATAATACTTTTTCAATTTTAGTTACAAACATTTATGTATTTTACATAAATATAATGATTCAGAGTAAAATACCCATAAATAGTTAGTATTTTGTTGATGTAATGCAAAAAACTCATAAAGAGCTGGTATGTTATGGGCAAAAACTTTTTTACTTTCACATATTTAAAAATTGTTAAATACAAAATTTATTAGTTTCCTTTTTGTAAAAATATTAGTGTAACACTTTTTCAATTTTAGTTACAAACATTTATGTATTTTACATAAATGTAATGATTCAGAGTTAAATGTCCATAAATAGCTAGTATTTTGTTGATATAATGCAAAAAAATTATAAAGAGCAAGTATGTTATGGGCAATTTTGTAAGGCCTGGTGCAACCCAATGAGTACAAACAATATCACAATGATGCACAAAGATATATCAAATTTAAGCACAATAAAGAAAACTTAATTAAAGAGAAAAGATAAGAAATGCAAACCAAATATCAATCCAATAGCCTCTTCAAAAGATGGCGATGCTAACCAAGATGTACAAGTGAAGGCTCACTCCTTCCTCACCCCAAACACACTTTGATTGAGCCAAGGAGTTTTACAACTATTTTAGTTAACCCTCAACAACCTACACTTGAAAGATCACTCACCCAATTAAGAACTATTTTATACAAATGAGACAACCTTCACCAAGATTTTACCACTTTAAGTGATAGGTTCACCTTCACCAAGGTTTTACTCCTCCTAGAGAGTAACCTTCACTTGAGCAACCTCACAACCCAACTTCTCCAACCCCTTATACAACCAACAAAGAATCTTTCTACTCAAAAATCTCACTTGTAACCTTGTATTTTGTGTTGGCAAAAGTCCCATGTCTTCTTGTGCTTTGGGGTTTTTATAAAATGTGAGAAATGGCTCCAAAAGGCTCTCCAACGGTCAAATATTAAATGCTGTCAAAACTAGCCGTTGGCCTGTCGGACGTCCGAACCACCTGTCGAACGTCCGAACCTTGCGTCCAAACCACCTGTCGGACGTCCGAACCCTGCGTCCGAACGTCGTCAGAGAGTCATCAAATCTTTGCGAAATTTCTCGGACGTCCGATGCGATCGATGTGCGTCCGATCCTTCCGGACGTCTGATGCTTCCTCACGAGCGTCCGACAGAGTTTCCTTCTTGATGTTCTTCATCCTTTCGGACGTCCGATAGCTTCCTTTCGGACGTCCGACTTGTGCCACAAGAATCTGTTCTAACAAATTGCTCACATAAAAACATTAGCCCAAATCTACATTTTGGTTTGTTAATCATCAAAACCAAGGATTGATCGACCAAAGTCAACAATCTCCCCCTTTTTGATGATGACAAACAAAATGAAGATTTCTTTTATCAAATAAGTTCAAATAAAGCTCCCCCTTAGAAAGTGCCAACATACAAAGAAATTTCAATAAATCCTACTCCCCCTTTTGGCATCAATAAAAAAAAAACAAACTCCCCCTTTATTTTTCAAATCAAGACCATATTGAATATCAAAATTTTTAAATGTACTTACAACCATATAGCACTTCTTGGATCAAATCTTCATGATGTACCTAAATATGAGAAATTTCATTTGGTACCCTTTCTTTATAGGGTCCTTGGGAGTTAATACGACATGATCTAGCAATCCACATGGATTTCATGCCTTTTCTCATATTTTTCTTTACATAGCAATCATTTTGCATATGTCCAAATTTGCAACAAAAGTGACACATGATAGAAGTATTTTGCACATAGGTGGATTTAATGCAACTAATTTTTTTACTTCTTATCATAGCAAACTTATTTGTGCCTTGAAAAGATTTGCTTTCTTTTGTTTGAGAAAACATTTATTTTTTATTTTGGAGAAACTCGTTCAAGTCATTAATTCTTTTCTTTAACAAATTTTGTTCCTCCAACATTTTTTCATAAAACTTTGTTTTCTCTTCCAACTTCCTTTTCAAATTATTTTTGCAAACAAAAACACTTTTTTTATTTTTTAAATCATCATTTTCCATTCTCAAACATTTGTTTTCTTGAAAAAGTTTGGAGTTTTCTTCCAACAAATCATTTATTTTTGTTTTCAAATCTTTATTTTTAGCATAAGATTTTCTCAAACTTTTATGCATTTTAATCATAAGAATTTTCACATCATCATCTTCATTATCTTCATCACAAGAAGAGTGATAAGAACTTACCTCATCTTCTCCAACAGCCATTAGTGCCATTTGGGCCAACTTTTCTTTTTCTCTTTTTGAATTGCATTCATCCCATGTAATTTTGCAATCTCCTCTTGAACATCTCTTGTTGAAGATCTTCTTGAAACTTTTGATGTGAGGAGTTATATCATTGTCCACTTCCATGATTTCTTTACCCATGAAGGATGGGTTATCCCCCACTTGAGATGCTTTAAAAGCTATGCTTCTCTTATACATTCTTGCATTTTCTTCCTCTTGCACTTTGAATTTCAGCTTTAATTCATAAGAGGTTAGGGAATTCACAAGAGATTCAATGGACATAGAATTTAAATCCTTTGCCTCTTCTATAGCATTTATTTTGTTTTCCCATTCTTTTGGCAAGGCATTCAAAATCTTTCTATTTTTCTCACCTAAAGAATATTCTTTTCCAAGCAATTTAAGATCTTCAATAATGTCACAAAATCTACTACACATCTTATCAACATTTTCAAGAGGATGCATTTTGAAAAATTCATATTGAGAAACAAGCAAAGATTTCTTTTGTTCTTTAATATCTTGGTTACCTTCATGAAATACACACAATTTATCCCAAATATCTTTAGCTGATTTACAACCTTTAATCCTACTAGATTCATTTACATCTAATGCATTGTACAATATACACATGGTCTTGGCATTCAAAGAAAGGTATCTCTTGTCTTTTTCATTCAATTCTTGTCTAGTCTTTAATCTACTCAAATTGGTGGTAGAGTCAACTATTTTAGCTTCATAAGGACCATCTTCTACCACATACCATAATTCAATATAAACGGATTGTAAGAAAATCATCATTCTTTGTTTCCACATGCTAAAATAAGAACCATTAAATATAGGTGGTCTATCAATAGATTGCCCTTCTAAAAAAGAAACTTTTATGGTTGCCATGATCTTTACTCTAAGCGGTTAAGCTTGATCAAAAGAGACCAAGCTCTGATACCAATTGTAAGGCCTGGTGCAACCCAATGAGTACAAACAATATCACAATGATGCACA